TGAGTTGTGAAACAACTTGATTATTTTCACATGTGTGGTGATCCCGTGTATCTTGTGATATTATGTAAGTAGGATGGCTCTCGAGATGTAGGTCATTTATTTCACCTTAGTCGTGCTTGATTTTTGTAGCGTATAGCGCTATCCGTCTCCCCAGGGTTGTATTTTTGCTCTTGGCGTGCTCGTGGATGATATTTGGGTATTTCGTAGGTATGAGCATTATGGCTTGATGGGTATTCCCTTATTTATTGTTATGTGTGGATCGGGTGGCACGACGCCATGGGTATGTTGTTTGGATCGGGTTGCACGTCGCAACGGTGTTATGTGTGGATCGGGTTGTACGCCTCAACAGTGAGATATTGAGTATGGTTCCCTATATCTATTCTGTGTATTTTGTTTCTCATTATCTAAGAAGGGTTCATAGCATCTTTTCGACCGTTTTATTCATTACGTGGGCTGGGTAGTTCTTTTCCAGAGTTCGTTCCTCCTTATGTGTCATATTCAAGTTGTAACTTTTCGGCGCATTGATGGCTTCATATGAGATCTTGGTTAGTGTTTGAGGTGGATTATTGCCTGAGCAACTTGTACTGGGTGAGATGAGGGTATTAGACCTGAAATAGGCGCGGTCGGATTTATGTAAGGTATATTAAAGAGAGAATGTCACTACTCAGTTCAAAATGAGGTAACAGTTCTTTTCAAGTGGAGAAACTCCGCGAGTTATTGATTGGACGGGTGATTATGAGTTCCTGCACATCTCTTTTGTTGTTGTAGTATTGTGAGGGTTGAGACCGGGCTTATATAAGTTATGAGGTATACTACGGGCATCAGGTCAGTGGATTTGTAGCTGTTGTGCTTGGAGGAGGTTATCACGGGCAAATGAGTTATGCAGTGCATTGTGTGATGTCAGCATGGGTGTATGATCATGTAAGGGTTCAGCGTGTGGAGATTGATACGGTATTCGTATGTTAGAATCAGGTCTTGTAGAGATTTTCGGATGTTGGAATTTGGTTGTAAGGCCTATTGACTAAATAAAAAGGAGGATCTTTAGTCTTGCTCGAGCTAATATGCTCCACTGGGTTGTGGTGGAACGGGTAGGTGCACAAGGTGTTGAACGATAATTTTGGGGCAACTCCGGAGAAGTTCTTAGCACGTTCGAGGACGAACGCATGTTTAAGTGGGGGAGAATGTAACGATACGACCGGTTGTTTTGAACTCTAGCGTGTCATTCAGCGGTTTGAGGCCTCGAGTAGCTTCATTTCATGTATTACGACTTGTACGTGTGGTCGGAATTTGGATTTTTGGAAGTTCGGAGTTGATTCGGAAGAAAAATTCTAATTTCAAAAGCTTTAAGTTGGAAGAATTAACTAAGGTTTGACTTTTGAGCAAACGACCTCGGAACCGGGATTTGAAGGTTCCAATAGGTTCGTATGATGATTTCAGACTTGAGCGTATATTCAGGTTAGTATCGGGTGGTCCAGAAGCATTTCGGCGCTTATTATAGAAGGTTGGCATTTTGAAGGTTTAAGAATTTCCTAAGTTTGGTTTGCATTGGAATTTGGTGTTATAGATGTCCGTTTAGGGTTCCTAGCCTTGGAATAGGTTCATATTGTGATTTATGGTTTGTGCGCAAAGTTTGGCGTCATCCCGGAATGTTTTGACATGATTCGAATGCGTTCGTCGAAGTTTAAAAGTTTATAGAAAGGTTTTGATGGTCGATTCATAGCCTTGATGTTGTTTGGCATGATTTGAGGCTTCGACTAAGTCCGTATAGTGTTTAGGACTTATTTGTATGGATGGATGGGGTCCCGGGGGCCTCGGGTGCGAATTGGATTGGAATCGGATCGAGTTTTGGACTTAAGGAATGGCTGGAGCTTAAGGCTTCTGGTGTGATCACACCTGCAAGGTTATGGCCGCAGGTGCGAGACCGCAGAAGCGGTCCAGGGGTTGCATAAGCAGTTGGGATTGAAGCTGGTTGGATTCGCAGGTGCGAGGAATTTACTGCACCTGCGGGCTTGCAGATGTGGGCGGAGGAGCATAGAAGCGGAAGTGGTCTGGGGCTTGAAGATCGCAGGTGCGGGTATTGTAGCGCACATGCGGAGCCGCAGGTCTGGTCATACGCGTGCAAGTGTGGAATGCTGCATGAGCTGGGAAGTCCGTAGATGCGGGTAGTTTCCACAGAAGCAAATGCACACTTGCGATTGGATGTCTGCAAAAGCGAAAAGCTGGCACCTTGGGGGAAGCCACATCTGTGAGGTAGCTTCCGCAGAAGCGCAAGGAGTTCCGCAGGTGCAGAAAATCAACTCGGCAGAATATATATGCTAGCCAATACGTGATTTGCTTATTTCATCTCATTTTTCTCTCTTGGAGCCAACTATGGGGCAATTTTGGAGAGTTATTTCATCCACCTCTTGGGGGTAAGTGTTTCTAAATCACTTTTGATTATATTTCATGAACACATATGGAATTTTAACATGAAAATTAGTAAAAATTGGGGGATTTTGAAAGAATCCTAAAATTTGCTATTTTGGATTTTTGACCACGAAATTGGACATGGAATTGAGAATAAATTATATAATTGAGTTCGTAATGTTATGGGTAATATTTATCTTCAATAAATTTCGAAATCCGGGCATGTGGACCCGAGGGTTGACTTTATTGACTTTTCGAGCGAAGTTGGGAAGTGTTATGAAATAATTAATTATAATGTTGGAGTATATTTTCATTGTCTTCCATGATTGTTTGACTAATTTCGGAACGTTTGGCTTGGAGTTGAGTGTTAGAGTGGTGTTGGATCCGGTTATGGAACTTCGGAGGGAGGTACGTCTCCTGTCTAACTTTGTGAAGGGGAAACTATCCCCCTAGGTGATGTAGTTGTTATGTGCAATTAGTTGTGGGTACTACGTACGTACGAGGTGACGAGAGTTCGTACGTAGCTAAAGCATGTTTATGTTCGGGTAGAATTAGGACTTTACCATGTAATATTTGAAATATTTGAACTCATTCTACTAGCTTAATTAATTAAAATTATAATCAAACTTGATTTAGAAATATACACATATATAATAGGCCGAGACTTATTACCTTGAGTGGTTGGCAAGTTATTTGAGAAACGGCAAATGTTATACTCACTTTGTGTTCATATACAGTATCGTAAGCTCGTGTCTCGTAATTTTATAATTCCTTTCCTTTCTTGTGGAACGGGCCGAACGCCTCGGCAGGATTATGTATCACACTCTGATGGGAGCGGGTTGTTCGCCTCGACAGTATAATAGATGTATCTATGGTTCATACCGCTCGACCCTCGGCAGTGTACACGTTATGATGGGATCGGGCCGATCGCCTCGGCAGTATCATATTCTTTCTAAATCTGGTTGTATGACCTCGATATAATCGTGCGTTATATCACTAACAGTCTGAATATTCATGAGGTTCTTCCTTCCACTGATGACCTGCATCTTATATGGTACTTCCCTATCCGTTTGATATTGGCACTTGATATTTCCGAGTTGTTGAGATAGAATACGAGATTGAGAAATTGATATCGTTAGAAAGAAATTTTGGACGATTGTGTTTGTTACAGTTTTAATTCACTACTACTGTTGTGCTTCTTATATGTTTATGATTTACCATGTTGACTTATTGGACCACTAGTAAGTGTCGATGTCAACCCCTCGTCACTATTTCACCGGGGTTAGGCTAGATACTTACTGGGTACACGTTGATTTACGTACTCATGATGCACTTCTGCACTACATGTGCAAGATCTGACAGGTTCATTTGGTGATCATCTTGGCACGTGGGCGCATCTATTGAGGAGACTTTATGTGAGCTGTATTCCGAGCTATGCATCGCAGTCCACAGAGTCTCCATCATACTATTTATTTTATTATATCTCATTTACATTCTAGACATATGTTGTATTATTATTGTACTTCTTAGTAAATGCTCATGCACTTGTGAACCGGGTTTTAGGGGTTTCCACTAGAGGTTCATTATTGTAGTTCACGTAATTATTATTATTTCACCTTGTAATTCATATTTTTATACGGAAGTTGGAAATAAAGATCACGGGTTTTCTACGAGTACCAGACCTTACTCAACTTATTGAATTGGATTCACGATTTCAAAGATAATAAATGAGTAATTAAGTTGATTAAGCACTGTTGGCTTGCCTGACGGGGGAGTTAGGCGCCATCACGACCAATAAGGATTTTGGGTCGTGACACCTCTGGTCCCAATCCTCAATCTGGTCCTCTAGCCAGGCCAAGTATGTCTGGTTGACCCTGCTGTGATCATCCCGCTAGTAATGTGTCATGTGCCAAGTGGGCGGAATAGGTACAAGTTGGGGTCGACCAAACTGGCGAAGGTCTCGCTCGGTGGCATGATGCTCGACTATATCGAGACATAGCAGTGGGACAGACGAGCTCCACATAGCTCGATCGCGGGAGCAATAATCTGGCGATCCAGCTATGAGTGTGTCACTATATGGCCTCCATATGAACTTTTTATTAAACACAAGAATTGTGAGTAAATGCAACACATATCAAGTCAGGCCAAGTAAACTTAAGTATATATGTACCTGAGCGCCTTCAAGTAAATCCAATAAATCCCTGTAATAAGGGAGATGATGCCTCGACCTCACGGGCGTGGCCTCACCTATCAACCAACCTCCAAGCTAGCGGGAGAAAGGGTGGAGGTGGTTCATCCTGAGCTATCGGTGGCAGAGGTGGCTGGAACTACAGGAACCACTCCCAGGCCCAAACCTAATATAGATTGTGGACGTAAAATTTAAGGTATTTTTTACTATGTATATTATAATCATGAAAAAATTGACTATGTTTTCACCTGCAACAGCGGTAAAAAACCGACAACGTCTCTCTGGGTGCCCATGCATGCCCGACACATATGCCTATACAGGTAAGCTAGAACAGCTGCACCCCAACTGTAACCAGATAAATTATCTAGCCACTCCAGATGATGTAGAAATCACAAGATGACTAGGTTTACGAAGTGTTCGGGAACAGTATACCACCAAACATCATCAGCAGCAACAGTCTCATGCGCCAGTCGATATCCTCTGACAGTAAAACATAAGTAATCTCCGCGTCCATCGCTACCAGATGCTGCCTAACGGGCGTGAGCTGCAATCGACTGGCCCCACTTAACACAGTCAGCTCCGCAGGTTGGAAACCGGTGAGTCGTTGCAACATATGAAGGCAATCCTCTCCCGTATAGTCTCTAAGAGCATGCGGGTAAGCTGCAGGTATACCATCAACGGGCAGCCCGAAAAGAACCTCTAACTCCTCTAGCGCTATGCTAGCCTTGCCAATGGGTAGATGAAACGTGTGTGTCTCCGGTTGCCACCACTCTATCATAGCCGTGATCAGGGCCCAGTCGACCTGCAACCGGACGATCTCTATGATCCTGTAAAAACCCGTCCGCTGAAGGCATCTAACTATACGGCGATGCAGTGGGTGGTCCCTAATGAACTCCCACAGATCGTCTATACGTCTGGGGCGGAAGGTCTGGGACAAACACTGTCCATCCCAGATGTGTGAAGACCTATGGTTGCCCTATAGCAACAGTAACTCTCGTGATGCAAGTCCGAGATACACAGAGGGAAGCTCCATGACGATGTCTGTAAATTGAACAATATTAATTAAAGTATTTTTCTGTTTAATTGTTTAACATCTTTAAATATATTGCAATATCTTTTATATTAATAGTTAATCGATAATGTTTCTATATTATTACTTAGGTTGATACATTTTCTATATTATTATTTTATATGTTAGTTTCTTACATTTTTTGACTAAAATTCAGCAAGGTTTTGTTTGAACTATCATCTTTTTCAGCTATTTTTGGGTATAATAGAATTAAATAATTAATTTTCATAACTATACATGATATAATTAATAAGTATTCATATAAAAGTACCCAGTTTGACAAAGTTTCTATATTGTTGTTTTATATGTATTTTCTTATATTTTTTGACTAAAATTCGAGAGGATTTTTGTTTGAACTATCATTTTTTTCAGATATTTTTGGGGTTAATAGAGAATTAAATAATTAATTTCAACAACTAAAAAGATATCTTAGTAATTATTCATATAACAAATACTTAAGTTGATAAATTTCCTATATTAATATTTCATATGTTAGTTTCCTATATTTTTCTACTAAAATTCTACATGATTTTGTTTGAACTATCATCCTTTTAAATTTATTTTTGAATTATAACAGAATTAAATATTAAATTTCATAAGTAATCAAGATATATTCAATAATTATTCATATAAAAAATACTACAAACTTAATAGTAAATAATATTGAATTTATTTCATTCGTAACGATTTGTTTGTTAACTATCATATTTTGCCCAAATTTCCCGGCAACGTCTCTTTTATAACGTCAACTGATTATTTTATGATTTATATCTAATATTTAATAATTATCTACTAATACATTAAATGCATAATTGAGTACTCTATCCGAGTTTGTTAAGGAGAGCACATAGTTTTTATTCTACACAACGAAATCTTAAAGAGCACTGTAGTAACACTACTCTAAATGGCCATAAATAAAGTCAACTACCATAAACTAAAATTTATTATCAGTTTTAATACGCTAAAGGGCACTACATAACAATTAAGGGCACAACATAATACTAAAGGGCACTAAACAATAATAAAATCAAATATAAATATACGTACAACAATAAAATCACATATAACAATAATTATTCATAAAATAACAATATATATTTTTACTATTTTTTTAGTACATAAATAAACTAATCCGGATAAAAAACTAAAAAATTAATTAAATCACAAAACGATCACAAAAAAACATATAACATAGTAAATAACAACTAATAAGCATTTTATATACATGAGTTTTACCAAAAAGTAAGTCGGAATACCTCCATTTAAAGTTTTTTAAAATGTGAAAAATTGATGATTTGGGAGCCGAAACGAGCAATAGACGAGATCCACTACATGACAACGCCTTGGATTCGGTGTTAGCTTGCTAAAATACGGAGAAAATATAATTTTTGGGGGACGGGTGGACTCCAATGAAGTTTTTGGTTAAAAAATGGGCGGGGAGGGGGGGGGGGGTCGTTTTGGTGTTTCTGCTTCTGTCTAGTCGGGGAAGGAGACGTTCACGATATTTTATATATGTATAACGCATATATTGAATGCGCTATACCTATCTGTCTTTTCAACTTCTGGTATAGCACATCTTGTATATGTGATATATATATATATATATATATATATATATATAGAAATGACAGTAAGGGCCGAACATGGGTGTACGAATATGGGTAAAAATTGTTTGTAGTGGGTATTTCCAGTTTTACTCTTCAATTTCATTATACTCATTTTATGAAACATGGCAGGTCTTCGTATTTTTGTGGGACATGTGTTTTCACTTGAGGTAGGCATTCAGATAGTTCGGATTGGATTTGAAAATTTCGGTTTGGATTTTTAATTTTCGGATTGAAGAAATGACAATTCAAATCCAATCCAAATAAGCTCGGATTGGATCGAATTTTTTAAGTTCGATTTCGGATTAATCGATTAGGATAGTTTGGATTTTCGGTTTTAAGCCTATAACTTGAGAAGTTTCTTTTTTTCTACAAAACTTATATCCAAATGAAGTACTCATGTTAAATTGCCTGAAAAGTTCCTCATTTTCACCTCAATCATCCAAATAAAGTATTCAAATAATGAAATTATTATCATGGAAATGCAACAAAGATATTAGTATGGCCGATAAGAAGTAACAATGGTAAAATTATGTTCAAATAAAAAATATTCTGACAGTAACTAAGTAATTACTATTATTTAGAAGCAGGAGATTGGATGTACGAACATTGCACCTTCAAATTGTACATTATGCTTTGGGAATTGTACATTATATTTGGGCCTACCTATTTGGCGAATTAACACGTGTATTCACCATTATTTTACAATACCACGTGTACCGCCATTTAAGATGCTACAACTCTAACAATCCAGCTTTTCACTCTCCTAAATTCCTAATTCTCTGTTTCTCTCTCCTTCGCTACTCTATTATTTTTTTCATGCTTTGCTACTTCAACAATTGAATGAGAAGTTGAAGATGTCATCTTTCTTTAGGTGAGTAGTTCAATTCTTCTGGGCTTTTCTAGATCTATATTTTTGAGTTCTTTTCTCTTTTTATGTTCATATTTCGTTCATGAATTCTATTTTTTTCTCCGATTTTACGTTATGCTTGCTACAATCTTCTAGCATCTACTGTGTTTGTGAAGTCTGGTAAGTTTTTCCCCCTATTTTTTTATTTCTTGCACCGTGTTCTGGCTTTCACTTATAGATTTCTTTGAAATTTTTGTCTATTTTTTGTTTGATGTTGGTTTCTCTGTTCTTTTAAATAATTTCTTATAAGATTTCTACATGCATGTCTGGTATTTTATTTGATTTTGATATGCATGTTTGGAAAGAAATACCTAGGTGCATGTCCTTAAACTAAATGATTTTGGGGTAGTGATGGTTTTTCACGTTACAGCCATAGTCTTGAATTAACCCTATGCATTTTATAGAATCAGGCCATTTAACATTGCTCAGGATATAGATTACAGAGTAGCTTTGAAGGAATGTGTTCTTATCATACATGACTGTCAATTAAGTAGAAGGAGAAATGTTGATACATGCAGTATAAGGTATGTTGACAATTTGTGATTTTATTGTGAACACGTGACAATTTACTGTGGTTGCCACTAGCATGATTATATTGTTCAGGTTATATGTGGGTGTCTTGTCCTAGCCTCGTCAC